GGTAAAATTTCGAGGCTTTATTTCACGTTTTGATGATTTTATTGAAATTTTTGATGATTCCCCATACATTTCCTTATAACAGGACACCACAGAAACCAAGCTTGGGCTACCTGTGCTCGCAAGGCTTTTATCTTAATCCAAACAGACAGGAAGCTAGATCAAACTGACGGATTCCACCAGTGCAAGTTATATTTTTGTATTTGTTAGAAGAATCGATTATTTAGTTTTTTGAGTTCGATGGAGAATGAGTGTTGAACCTAGTGTTCACCGCGTGGTTTCAAGGATTCCTTTTGACTTTGATTTATTCGTTTATCTCTCTTCGTCAGAACCAGATTTTGACTTTGGTTTATTAACACTCGCTATTTCCCTGCTAGCAGTCTCCTTCGCTGGCGAATATATTGACCAAGAATATCGCCACCAAGGGAGACTCTGCTACTAGGGATTGAATTATTGCTATTTATTTGTATAGGAAATCACACGATCTCGAGGTACGAGTGATGCTTTCAAAATTGGACGAGCATTTAGGCGAGTACAATTTGAGAACTTTCAAAACATCACGAGTATCTATGAATTCCGAAATATACTAGAAGATCGTATATTGAGCAACTTATTGGGGACTCTACAAAGTACAATTTGGGATTTAACTGTACTCCTCTATCTTAATTGTCCAATAAGAATCGAATAATTTTGTTGAGTGTATAATAAGACAGAATAAAACGCTTTGTAAGATTAGGTTCAATATTTTCTCGTTCAATTCTTGCTACTGTATGGCTAAAATGTCAAACTAGATAAAATTAATATAGCCATAGGCAACATAACAGTAAACCTTGAGAGAATGATGAATGCGGAAGTGCCAGAACGGCTGACCACGGATCTCCTGAATCCCTGTGTATTAAATGGCKTTATTCGTAAGTAATTTTAGTAAATATTTTATGATCATTTCAATATAATGATTTTAAGAGTCGTAATCTGATTTTTCAATGTATAAAATATTTCATGTTACTCGTTTTCTGGTTACTCGGTTTACTCGCTACTCGTTACTGCGTTACTCGTTTTAGTAACACCCGCTTATTCATGTAACTTAAAATCAAGATTTGGGGTTGAGCAAATCTGTCCTTTAAGGTTTCTACTGCATTCTTTAAGTTTTTACTTGTGAGAAGGATACCTTCGATTGATTTTGCCGCCTGACCAGATAAACAACCTCTGAGGTAATTAAACTTGTCGATATCAGATAATTCACTGTCGTACACTGATGTTTTGAAACAGTCCAAGAAGGGTTGCCAATATGCTGGATCACCATCAAAGGTAAGAAAAATAAGCTAAAAAAAATACGGAATTCTCAGTTAACAGTTAATTTTTTATCCGTTTCTCAGTTAACAGTTAACCACATTCAGACCCTGTGATAACTGAGATCGACGAAATAACTGATAACTGTTTATTTTTGATTCATAAATTATTTTTTTTGCTTTTTATTCAAAAGCTATTTGAGGCCATTCACCATCATATTGCCTTGTGTCAGTTGATACTCTGTTACGTATTTATTGTTGATGTAATAGAGTTGAGTTGACCTTTGATCACTTTTCCGTCGATTTGCTGGACGCTTTGGTCAGTATGAATAGTGGTATCGTTAAAGTTCTTGCAAGCTATTATAGAAAGGACGAGGAAGCTCCGTTCGAGCGCCACCGAAGTCGAGTACCCATTGACTTTGCTTTACGATTCTCTGTGCCAAAATTAAAACAGCATTTAGGCGAATTTCTTCAGCTTGCGTGACCCGTTCAGGAAGGGCTGTACGAGCATTAATGAAATTTAAGATCATGTTCAGACGGTAAAAAGGTACAGTAAAATGTTTAAATTGACAATAAACGCATAACAAAAGATTCATCTATATGTTCTTAAAATTTAAGGTTCAGTCTTTCCACAATTAAAGCCATAGTTAGGATTTTTATTGGCTCTAGCCATTGTTTAGCAGTTCATCTCTTCGTATTTTCTCCTGTGAAAATTATGTTTGCTTGGTTTCACTTTGGTTTCACAGACTAATAGTTGTTTCACTTTTTGGGACATTTCACTGCAAAATTTCATCATGCCAAGCGATATCGTGAAAAAAGTCTGCAAATAAATAAGTAGTATAGGGGATGGGGGTTCCAGCGCAACGACCACCGGAGGATTACCCGTCTA